CAACCCCCGGGAGCGCTGAACCCCCCCGGGCCGGGCCCGCCGTGGGGCTGCACGAACCGCCGGTCCCCGCGGGGCTGTGGGGCACCCGGGCCCAGGGCACGTGTTTGGGGCCCGGCCCCTCCGGGCGCTGTCTCTGCCCCACGGCCCGGGGGGCTCCGTCCCGGCGATCCCGGGGGTCGGCCACACCTGAGCCCCCCCCGGCTGCATTGGTGGGGCAGCGACCCAGGGCGGCGTGGCGGCTTTGCTGGAATCCCCAGCGCTGGTCACTGCGGGCCCGTGYGTTGGGGGGTGACTGCATGGTCACGGGGATGCCGCCGTCCCGCCCGGACACTGGGGGCTGTGTGGCCCCACACTGACCCCGGCACGGGGCAGAGCCCGGGGAGCAGCGTTCCCACTGCCCCGAGCTCTGAGAGACCCTGCCTGGAGCTCAGGCTGCTGGGTGTCACCCTGCAGGGAGCTCAGGGGGCTGGGGTCTCCCTGCCTGTGACGTCAAGGAGCTCAGGGACACCCTGCCTGCAAGCTCGGGGTGCTGGGGACAGCCTGCCTGTGAACTGGGGGTGCTGGGGACACTTGGCTATACCCTGCTTGTACACTCAGGTATGCCCTGACATGAGCTTAGTAAGCTTGGGAATGCCCTTCATGGAGGCATGGCCYTTCATGGAGATACCCTGCCTGTGAACTCGGGGATTCCCTGCCTGCAAGTTCAGGAACACCCAAGGAGCTTGGGAGCACCCTGCCTGCATAGCCATGCCAGCACAACCCACAACACAAGCTGCGGTCAGTGCTGGACACGAGTGGACAGCAGGCTATCTGCCGTGGTCCTTGTGCTTGGCTCTGACACCCCCGTGGGTTTGTTTCCCTCAGTGTCCAGGTCAGTGAAATGTTCTCACTGGGACAGCAAGGACCCAATTCTGCCTGCCCGACACAAAGCCCACAGTACCAGCACCAGGCTGGGGACACCCTGGGGACTCCAGTGGGTGCCACCTGTCCTCTTGCCTCTGTCCTGCCCTTTCCCTGGCCACATGGATATCTGGACAGCTTCTGAATCCATGGGATTTTGCCCTTTCCGTGTTTCACTGTCACTTCTCAGGTCTCTTCCCAGGAAGAGCAGCTGGGGCAGGTTGCAGGAGGTCTGCCGGCGAGGAAGCAGGCTCTTCCTCCTTCCCCGGTATTTAAGAAACTGCTTCCGTGCTGCCCAGTCCTGGGCCCCTCCATCCCATTCCCCTTCAGTGTCTGGTGGTCCAACATCCTGGAACAGTGCTCCAGCCATCTCCTGACCCAACAGGGATGATGTCTCCAAGACCTGCAGGATTTGGTGTACTTTGGGGACAAGTTTGGGGCTGGTTTCAGCAGGAGCGGGGAGGTGGGTGACAGCCACCACCAGATGGGAGCCCTGTGCCACAATCCTGSTGCAAGCAGCTCTGTCCATGCCGCAGAGGCTGCTCCCAGGGAGAGGAGCAGACCCCGGGRCACCCGTCACCAGGACACTCACTGGGAACTGCCTGTGAGGGAAGCAGTGCAGTGGGTGCTTGGCACCCAGTTTCACCCCTTGCTGGGATGCTGCCTCAGAGGCTGGGGACAARTGTGTTCCCAGCCGCATGGGTGATCTGGGATCCTTTCTCATCTCCTTGGGATGTGCTGGCATCCTTTCCTATCCCTCTAGGATGAGGTAGGGTCCTTCCCCATCCCTCTAGGGTAATCTGGGATCCTTCCCTATCTGCCTCGGCTGAAGTGGGATCCATCCCTGTCCCTTTGGGCTGAGCGAGGAGGATCCATTCCCTCCTTAGGCTGAGCGAGGATCTTTTCCCATCCCTCCGGGATGAGCTGTGTCATTTCCCATCCCTGTGTATCTTGGAGGAGTTGTGCTGCATTCCCCACTTGCAGCAGGCAATGCTGAGTGGCCTGAGAGCCTCTGCTCAGTGCCTGGGCACACGGTGGTGCTGCAAGTATCCCTTAGATCAATCCCTGGGTCTCAAACCCCCGTGCTTCCTCCATGGCCTCACCAGGAGGGCAATGAGGGCGGGATGCCRGGCTTTGCTTCCCAGGCTGGCTTTGGCAAGGCTCTGGGTGGAATATTCCCATCTCCCTGTCCTGGAGCCGCTGGGCACCTGGACRGGCGGCTGGAGCCCGCCTTATCTTGCCTCACGCCGGCGGCCCCGCTCCTGTGTTTAGTCTTTGGTGCCTCGCAGCATCCCCGGCGCCAGCGGGTGCTGGGTGCCTGCACTCTGGGGAGAGTTGGCCTGGTGTGATCCAAAACCTCTGCCCTGCTTCCCTCGGGGAAGACAGGGGGTGTGGGTGAAGCCAGACCCCACAGCAGTGAGCTCTGCTCGGGGTTTGGTGCCCTGGACCCGGGATGTTGGCTGCCCGGAGCGTCATCATCGCCGGCTCCAGGAGGCATTTCCCGGCCCATCTGCGGGGCGAGGGCGTGGGGGGCGAGGAGGCAGCGGCAGGAAGCAGGCAGGAGCTGCGGCTTGGGGTGGGACGGGGGCTTCTCTGCTGGGAGCTGTCATCTGGAAGCCATCAACGGGGCGGGAGGGAGGGAGCCGCCTTCCCGGGGCCACACACGCCGGCCGGCCCTGCGGGGACACAGCCGGCCAGCCCACAGCCTCCCTCGCCCACCCGGGGGTCCCCAGCTCTGCTCACCCAGGCCTGGCGCAGGGCAGTGTGTCCGAGCCCAGTGGAGCCAGGGGGCTGCAGCGGGGCCACCCTTTGGCCAGTGCATGCCCCAAAGCTTTGGCTACGGGGCCGGAGAAACCCACCCACCTGCTTCCCAGTGCTGCAGCRTCGTCCCTACGGTGGCGTGGAATCGTCATTGCAAAGCAAGGGGGGATGCAGGGAGCTGGCAGCAGGGSTGCAGCCCCCTCCTCCCTGACACCTTGTCTCCTCTCTCGCAGCTTGGCCAACATCCCGTTGACTCCAGAGACCCAGCGGGACCAGGAGCGGCGGATACGCAGGGAAATCGCCAACAGCAACGAGAGACGGCGGATGCAGAGCATCAATGCTGGCTTTCAGTCCCTGAAAACCCTCATCCCACACACGGACGGGGAGAAGCTCAGCAAGGTGAGTGGGATACACACGCTGGTCCTGCACGTGGAGGGGCTGGAAATGGAGTTGGAGGTATTTACCTGTTTTAACTCGGTGATGGAGCTCTCTCCTGGGGAGGTTTCCTCACAGGAGTGGGTGTGCATCCCCAACCCAGTGTCCTGGAGTGGGCTGGAGTGTGTGACATGTGTGACAGCCCCAGTGTCCTGGAGTGGGCTGGAGTGTGTGACAGCCCCAGTGTCCTGGAGTGGGCTGGAGTGTGTGACAGCCCCAGTGTCCTGGAGTGGGCTGGAGTGTGTGACAGCCCCAGTGTCCTGGASTGGSCTGGAGTGTGTGACAGCCCCAGTGTCCTGGAGTGGGCTGGAGTGTGTGACAGCCCCAGTGTCCTGGGAGTGAGGTGATGTGCCTGGGTGAGGAGAGGACCCCGCTGTAGAGGAGTGGGGTGAGAAGGCAGTCGGTTGGGTTCCCGAGGTGGGTGAATTGAAGGTTTCACCATGGAGGAAATCCCAGGGGGAGCCTGGGGGGAAGCAGGGACAGGCAAGGAGCAGGGCTGCTTGCAGAGCTCGTCGGGAGGAGGTCTGGGGTAACAGCGGGGTGTCTCCTGCCTCAGCGTGYCCCTCCCGGCTCTCCCACAGGCAGCCATCCTCCAGCAGACGGCCGAGTACATCTTCTCCCTGGAGCAGGAAAAGACTCGGCTACTGCAGCAGAACACCCAGCTCAAGCGGTTCATCCAGGTAGTGCCCGAGGGATGGGACAGGAGCGGGTGGGACAATCCTGGCTGGCCGGGGAGGGGACGCCATCATGATTCCTTGGTGCTAAGAGTGAGACCCTTTCCCCTGATCAGCCAGAGAGTGGAGATGTTTCCATTCTCCTGGCTGGGCAGGGAGCCCCATTCAACCCAGCATCCCTTACCTGGCAGGGGAAGAAGGGTTAGGTTTTTCCCACCTATTTGGGGTGTTGGAACATGGCCTGGTGGCAGTTCTGGTGCTCAAGTGCCCTGGTTGAACTGTTCTGGGTGTCACAGTGAGGCAATCAGGTTGGCACAAGGCCGGGGAGGTGAGGACCATGATGGGGGCACATCTGTCCCCAAGCATCAAACACAGCCCCAGGGAGAGCCTTTCCTGCAGGGAGCTGTGGTGGGGAGTGGCATYGCCCACATCTCTGGATGACAGCATCCATGCCAGCCCCCTTTCYCTGACCCCACATTCCCATGGCAGGAATTCAGTGGCTCCTCCCCGAAACGGCGACGGGCAGAGGACAAAGATGAGGGGATCGGCTCGCCAGACATCTGGGAAGATGAGAAGGCTGAGGATCTGCGGCGGGAGATGATTGAGCTCCGGCAGCAGCTGGACAAGGAGCGCTCGGTCCGCATGATGCTGGAGGAGCAGGTGAGGCCAGGTGCCCTCTTGCAGCCTCTGTCCTGTCCCCAGTGAGCCCCAGGGACAGGGGCAGTGCTATGGGGTCACTGAACACCAGTTCTGGGCATCGCTTCTCCATGCTTGTCCAGGGTTTCCTGGCTCYGCTGTGCCCACCCCATCAAGGGGACAGCCCAGGTTCAGGGGTGCCGTGCTGGGCTCCCCACTGATGTCGGGGCTCTCCGGCGCGCAGGTTCGCTCCCTGGAGGCCCACATGTACCCCGAGAAGCTGAAGGTGATTGCTCAGCAGGTGCAGCTCCAGCAGCAGCAGGAGCAGGTGAGGTTGCTGCACCAGGAGAAGCTCGAGCGTGAGCAGCAGATCCGAACGCAGGTGAGTGCGGCCCAGACACCCCCAGGTGCTGAAACCCCGGGGTTGGTTCGGTGCTGACTTGGCACCTCCTGTGGGCAGCAATGTCCCAGTAAAGCTCTTGCCTGTGGTGATTTGGGAAAGGGGTGGCCCAAAGCCCCCCACAGTGCTCAGGGGGCTGTGCTGGTGGGCACCCCRTGTTTAGGGAGGGATCGTGGGTTGGACACCCGTGGTGGTTTCCAAGYGGCTCCATTCCCTGGCAGGAGGGGGTTGTACAGGAAAGGTTGCATGCTATCAGGCAGCGTTTCACCTCGGGGGCTTCACCTTTTTCTGGGTGACTCCCACTGAATTTTAGGGATCCCCAGCCACTCCCTGCTACCCACCAGGCTGGGAAAAGGGAGCATCAACGTRGCAGGCAGTGGGGATGGGAACCTTCAGCCTTTCCCCTGACACAGCTGGATTTGGCAGCAGTGCAGGGAGGAGGTGAGCGTTGTGCTGGTTCCAGTCCCTGTGCGCTGCCACCCTCAAGCCCAGCCCGGGGCCACACCACTCCTGGAGCATCAAAGAGAGGGAGGAACAGCAGCTTCCCCGCTCYTTGGGCTTCTGCATAGCCATGTCCCTGCAGGGTCCCCACTGCCACCTCCCGGGGAAGTTCAGCCTATTTTTAGGTGAACTCTCCGTAGCCTCCTGCTAGGGCGGATCTTCCCATCCGCTGCTCCAGCGAGGATCTCCGAGGRGTGTGGGGAATTCCTGGCCACACAGGGGCTGGCGCTTGCATCTCCTGGCTTCAAAGCCCAAATTGCTGCCCTTTGGGATATGGGGAACTCTTCAGCAAAGCTGAGGTGGTGGCAGCTTTCAGCTGGCATCCTCCTGCATCCATTGAGATGGAGAATTGGAGCAGCCGAGCGATGCTTCAGCTTTTATGGAGTTCAGGTTCTGTGAACAAGCGCGGTGCTCTCCCCAGCACCGTGGTGCCCAGGTCCCTGCTCACCCGGGCTTTCCCTTCTGTCCCCAGCTCCTGCCATCACATGGTCCCCCAGCGCCCACCCACCACCCCACTGTGATCGTTCCAGCGCCACCTCCCTCCCATCACGTCACCGTGGTCACCATGGGCCCATCCTCAGTCATCAACACGGTTTCCACGTCCCGGCAAAACCTGGACACCATCGTTCAGGTGAGCTGGGGAGCGGTGGGGGGTTTGGCAGAGAGGGGTCTGGGGAGGTCCCCAACCCCGTGGGGCGGGTCGGAGGGAACCCTGGCGATGTCCTGACAGCCGGTGGCTGCCCTGGGCAGGCGATCCAGCACATTGAGGGGACGCAGGAGAAGCAGCTGCAGGAAGAGGAGCAGAGACGYGCCGTCATCGTGACGCCGGCGCGCGCCTGCCCCGAGCCCTCTGCCTCCGACACCGCCTCCGACACCGAGGGCAACGACAGTGACTCCATGGACCAGAGCAAAGAAGAGCCCTCGGGGGACGGGGAGCTGCCCTGACACCCCCCGGCTGGCAGCCGGGGAGGGGAGCCGGGGCGGGGGGGAAACGTCAGAGAATATGCTGAGATTTTTAAAAAATACAACGCGATTTGGGTCTCTTTTATGACCTTTTTCCAATACTGTAAAGCAGAGCGTTAGAGGCAGGCAAAGGTCACCCTGCAGCTCCCTGGGGGGGGYGGGAGCTCGGGGGTGGCCACAATGGGATGTGGGGGGCTCGGGGTGCTGTGGGGGGTGTTGGGGATGGGGGTCACAGCCCCCCACCCTTGTTTATCACCCCCAACCCACCAACCCAGAGGGAATCCTGCCAAACCGGCAGCAGCCCCGCTGTTCGTGTTGGTGTTCCCTTGGGACAGGGCCTTCAGTTGGGATCTTAATTTGGTTTTTTCCTTCTCTCGTGGTTTTGTTTTCATTTAATTAAATGTTTGTTTTTAAGCAGGGGGGCGATGCCAAGTGACATGGCAGCAAAGGCAGGACAGGGATCCCCGGCTTTGGGGTACCACCATGGCTCCCGTACCCCACATGGGGCAGGGAAACCCCCTTGGAGAGTAAAATAATCCTGGGATGATGCCATTGGAGCACGATAGGAGGGCTGGCATGTGCCACCCCTCCCTGGCATTTCCAACACCCACCTCCTTGGCACGGGGATGGCGGGTTGGGGCTGATTTTACACCCCACCTCTGTCCCCGTGCCCATCCTTTTTCCCCCCACCCCATTCCCATCCCTCCTTTAAGCACTTAATCTGGTTTGTGGGGTCCGTCAGCTCCAAAGAGCTTTTCTATTTTGTGATTGTGTCGCTTGGGTCTGTCGTGGCGGGTGGGGGGGGGGTCTCTGTTCTGTCCGTCCCCCCCTCACCCCGCTGCCCCCCACCCGGCTGTAGGGTTTTAGGCCAGTTGTGTGTAGAGCCTCGGTGGTATTCAGTAGGTTCCCCCCCAGCTGCAGCTGTTTCTCGGTTCCTTTCCCTTTTTTTTGTCTTTTTTTTTTTTTTTTT